CAGCTGCAGCCCTAAGCAGACTCCACACTCTCTGAGGCAGGGCGACCGTCTTGGGCTTCCATGGCTTTTCTTCACGTCTGTCCCACAGGCAGTGGGCTGCGCTGTGTGGCTTAGGGGCATGCCGATCGGGACTCCCCACACCCTGGTCAACTGCAGCAGGTAGAAGGTCTAGTTCATCTCGAAACAACACTAGACACTCAATAGGTAGCAGAGTCAGGGTGAGGAATGCATTCTCATTCGGGAAACCAGAGGCATCGGAGCGGGGGAAGGCATGTTGCTAGGATGTCGCCGAAGCTGCAGCACCGATGGGTGACCGCTTCTGGGCCCATCTGCGAGAAAGTGCTTGTCTACAAAATGTCCATATGAGCGGCACGAGTTTGGTGTGAGACTTGCTGTCCTTCAAGCCTGGCAGCGAGGTTTGTTCCACGCTGCTCAAAGTTTTTGGTGGCTCACATCAGTCCACTTAATGGAACAACAGCACAACGAAGCCCAAGAGTCATGCCTGGTTAGGTCAGGGGTCCTGATGGTGTAAGGGTTACACCTTGGGCTGCTACCTGCAAGGCCAGCAGTTTGAGCCCACCAGCCACAGCTATCCCTGGCTCCTGGTGCCTAGCACACGCGAAAGCTCACAGGACTAGAGGGTGTCATTTCCCATGTGATGGCAAACAGTGAACCAGGCTCACCGAAGCTTCCTATGTACCCGTTTCCCCAGGTTCGGAGTGAGGTGTCCAAGGCTGAGGTGGACCCTGGGGCCCACTGCAGAGCTGCCCTTTGACCTGGAAAGCTAGTGGCCTTTCCCTCTAGACCCTAAGGGACAAACCCTGTGGAGAAGCCTATGGGAGCCATGACCAGCTGTAAGGGTCGCGATACTGCACAGAAAGTTCTAGTCACTCTGGAGAGATGGCCCTGAATAAGAAATGGGGGCTTAGTCCAGGCCCCCGGGAGAAGCTGACCTTTGTTTGCTCCTGGGCCTCTGCAAAGGCTGCTGGGGAGGACGGATACCCTAGAGACTTACTGGAACTTTCTCAGTTAAGTGAGCTTTAGCAGTGAGGGGGCCTGGCAGAGTGGGGGCGGAGGGCTTTCCTGAGTGCCAGAGCCCAGCGGCCCTGATGCTTGAGCACTTACTACTCCACAGCCACTGGAAAAAGCGCCCTTCCTGGAAGGGCTGTGCCCACAGGGAGAAAGTGGTCTCTCTCTCTCCACAAAAGCCAAAACACCAAGTTCACTGCCATCGAGTACAGTCCGACTCATAGAAACCCTATAGGACAGCATAGAACTGCCCCTGGGGTTCCTGCGACTGTTGACTTGACGGGAGCAGAGAGCCCTGTCTTTCTCCCAAGGATTGGCTGGTGGTTTTGAACTGCCGAGTTTGCAGTTCACAGCCCAACTCCTAACCACTAGCCCCCTGGGGACTTTCAGTGAATGAGTATCATGTGAACACCCTTCTGGGGTGTTTGGGAAGCAAGGGGGTAGGTTTAGGTTCCCCACCCAATGCCAGTTTCCAAGGTTATAAATCTTTACCGGAACAAACGACTTCCTCTTTCTGCCAAAAGTGGAGCTGGTGGATTTGAACCAGCAGTTAAACGCTTACCCAGTAGCAACATCCGGGCTCCTGATGTAGTCAGAGCATTGCAAACCTATATTTCTCCTTTTGCTCATCTCCCCTTTCTTCTAACTCCTCTCAAGGGAGAAGCAGTAGGGGTCAGCGTGGTCGGAGTAGGCTTGACTGAACCCAGTCAGCTCTCCTAACCAGTAAAACCAGAGATAGGAAGTCTTCCAAACTCATCCTGGCAATTTGCAGCCCAAACTCAACCAGGCCAACCACAGCGTTAATATCTATCACCTTCCTCGGGAGAAAGACGGGGCTCTCTACTCCTGTAAAGGGTTAGTCTTGCAGTCACAGGGACGGTTCTACCCTGTGCTACAGGGCTGCTCTGGGTCGGCAGGCAGCCTCGTCTCTTCTGCTGTCCACTGCCCACTCATCATTAGCTTGTCCTCAGCCTTTGTCATCCATCGGATCGCTGCTCACTAATTTGGGGAAGTAAATTCACCAGGCCTTACTTCCTAGTCTGTCTTAGTCTGGGAGCGCTGCTGAAATCTTTCCACCAGAGCAACACCCTCATGAGAAGAATCTTCAGGAGTGTGGACTGAGACAACAGGGGGCTCAGAGCCACCAGCCATCATGAAGGTGGCATAGGACTGCTCAAGACCTTTCTATGCAAGATCACCATGGGGGTGGGGGTGGGGGGACTCAACAGCATTAAGAAAAACAGCCCTTCCAGGATTGGCTTTTCCCTACTTTCCCCTCCAAGAGCCTTGGCGGCTCAGGGGTTCAATGAAGGGTTGCTAACTGAAAGGGCGGCTGTCCTAACCTCAGGGGAAAGGTGTGGCTGTTGACAACCTTGGAAACCCGAGGGGCGGTTCTCCGTTCTAGAGGGTGGCTGTGGCTGGAATCTACTCCACGGCGTGCAACAACTCCTATCTCCTGCCCCCAATCTAAAGAACCAATCACACCCCTGGGCACATTTGCCTTGGGGCATCTGTTTAATCCTTAAGAATTTCCTATTAGTGGACCAAGTGGTCTCACCCACCCCTCATGTGTAACCGGGAGCAAAGTGCTCATATTCACACCCCCTCCACCTCAGAAGCAGCTCAACAGCCCGGTGAGCAATGATGACGAGCCCTTACGGGGAAAGGGCAGATTCCAGGGGGGACCGGGAAGTTCTGAGGTTCTTGAAGTTTTCCACTAGCAAAACATACTTAGAGAACAGGATGGGGGTGTTTGAGCACCAATAAGCAGTTTCTTCCTCATTGCCCTGAGGCTCTGTGGACATTTTTTCAGCAAATAGTTAGGCTTCGCCTTACTTTATTTCCTTGTCAGAGTCTCTCCTGGAGGGTGGCCATGCTGGAAGATATCCAGGAGAGGAGTAGTCACCAAGTGGCAATCTAGGCCTGGGACTGGAAGAGGAAGAACAAGTGCAAGAGGAGTTTGGGGGGTGGGGGGCAGGGGGTGTCTTCTGTGGCGTAGGCAAGGGGGAGAATACAGGGTAAGGGAGGACAAGGGCCTCTCCTTCCAGGGGACAACAACAAAAGCAAATCCACTGCCTTTAAGTTAATCCGACCCATCGCAAGCCTCCAGGGCAGAGTAGAACTGCCCTTGTAGAGTTCTGAGATGGAAACTCTTTATAGGAGTAGAAAGCTCCATCTTTCTCCCTCGGAGCCACTGGTGGTTTCAAACTGCTGGCCTTGTGGTTACCAACCCAACATGTAACCACTTCCTCGTCACCAGGGCTCCCTGGGTTGAGGCTGGCCAGGACAAATGGCAAAGACTTTCAGGTTCCTGAAACAAAAGTGACTTTCCTGGCTCCCAGAACCCTTGGAGATGGCTGGAACCCTTCCCAGGTCAGAAGGCTCTCATTGCTTAGGGACGTGGCTGGTTTCTTCCCCTTCTCTGAACCATGGATACCTCATCTGCAAAAAAGGGGGGACTGGGCTGAGAAGCTACTGGGATCCTCCCTACTTAGGTTCTCCAACCCTGTTCCCCCCGGGGGAGCAGACCTCACGAGCAAGCACCTGAGGCCGCACTGCTCTGCATGAAATTTCACCAGCTGTTTGAGCCCGGGGAAGATCCGGACCTTTCAGAGCATCCTCAGCGAAGTAAAGGTCGTAGCATCTCCCTTGAAGGTCTCAAATAGTGCATGGAGTAGCTGCCATCTCAAACTGCTCTGAGCACAACTCAACGCAGCTCCACCAAGCCTCTTAAACAATATTGGCAGAAACCCCGCTCCTGCTGTCTGCCCTCTCCACGTCAGGGCGCCAGCCAGCCAGGGACATGGATTTCCCAGGTCTTTGCCCAGTGGAGATATGGAAAGGGCATCTCCTTTGTCTCACAGCTCCCTTAAAAACCAAGACCAAATCCACTGCCATCAAGCCAATCCTGTTTCATAATAACTTGAACCGATTTGAACGGCCACCTTCGGCTTCCAAGACCATTAAGTTTTACAGGAGCAGCCAGCCTCATTTTCCTCCTATGGAGCAACTAGTGGATTTGAACTGCTGCCCAAGGCAGTAACCCACTCCTCCAGCAGGGCTCCTTCACCTCCCATAAGCATTTGGAACTAGTCCTGCAGATCTGCCTGTGGGCATCAAACAAGGCCCTGACTGAGAAGCCGAGATGCCTTCCAGACCTTACGGGGAAGGGTACCCACAACAGACCTGCCTCTGAGCGCCACAGGAATAAAAACCAAACACAGGCAGGAAAGACTTCTGTTTGTGAAGCAATACACTCAAGGTGACTTTGTTGTTGTTGTTGTTGAAGGGAATACCTGCCTCTGCAGATGCAGCTGAGCCTGCCTCCCAGCTGTCCGGCTCATTCAGGGCTGTTCTGGTTTCCCCTCAGTCACCTTGTATAGTCCCCTTAGACCCAACTAACCCTAGGCACTTTTTCTGAGTTGCTGATTATATCGGTGGGGCAGGGACTTCCATTTCCCTAGACCTGATGAGGCAAAGGACACGAGGGGCCTTGGAGGTCACCAAGCCAGAGAGACTGACTGGCCGGCGCTCCTGCCTCTGAGACCTTGGACCCCAAGTCTTGCTTCAAAGCCTGGAGCCCTGGAGGAGATCGGGAGCTGGAATCTCTTTCACTGCTCCTGTCCCCCAAGAGGAAACTGAAACACACACACACACACACACACACACACACACACACACACACACAGAATCCCCGTCCCTGGAGAGGTGCAGCAGGAACTCCGCTCTCCTGGGGGTGGGTGTGCACCCACTCAAAGGTGCTTGGGAATCCCCGGGAGCGCTGTGCAGTCCCCGCCCTGGACAGGCTCGGGCTGCTCCCAATCGCCCCCTGCCCCAGAACCCAGAGCCCAGAAGCCCGAAGCCCCTGCCCCTGCCATTTTTGTCACTGCCACATCACGCCCCCCCAGCACGACCCCAAGGTGGCAGTCCAGTCCCTTGGGAAAGTCTCAGGCCCTCTGCTGAGAACCTACCTCCAGGGGCGCTTGGCTGCGGAGGCCGTCTAGGAGGGTCCTGGGGTCTCCGAGGCAGGCGGCGGCGGCGTCTGGGCTCCTCACCAGTCTTCAAGGCTGAGCCAGCGTCTCCCTCCCTTTCTCTCGTGCTGCCGTGAATTCTCAGCACTATTATTTTTTTAAGGGACTTTTGTGTGTGTGTGTGCGTGTTGCGTCAGGGCGGTTGCTAGGCGACGGCAGAGCTATTCCACCGCTGGTCTTTTCAATCCCGATTTCCTCCCGCTAGCCTCTCATCTCTCATTCAAGCTCCGCACCCTCCCCCCCGGCCGCGGAGCTGGGAGACCGGGGTGGGGGGGTAGGGGTAGGGGGTGGGGTGGGGGGTGTCCCAGGAGACCTCCGCAGCCGGGTCCTAAAACCCGTCCAGTTCCCCGCCCCTGCAAGGCTGGACGCCCCACGGCAAGCAGAAGTAGAAACAAACCACAGCGAGTGGCCGAACCCAACTCTCCACTGCTCAATGACACCATAAAGCAGGGCAGGTTGTCGCCAGGCGTGGCGAGGTGGCGTTGCAGCCGACAGCAGTTTGCCCACCAGGAGGGAGCTAGGAGGATGTCCGCTGAAGGCATCCGCACACCCGGCGTCACTGCGATGCCCAACTCGTGCTCAGCGGGGTAGAAGGCGGGGACGCTAGCCGACGACGTGTGAATTAACCGAGGCTCTTCTGAGAGGCTCCAGGGAAAGCAGGGAATCAGTCATGCTGGACCCATGCTAACCACTGGAGACACCAATACCTTCAGAGATAGTCCTTGCTCCATCAGAGCCTGCATCTCCGGGCACCGAGGACGCACTCACGACAGCAGTCATGGTCCCCGGTCCCCCCCCCACCAACTGTCCACCTGTAGTGTAGGCCTTTAGCATGGATTCTGATGGAGCTCCGGTCCACTCCTGGGGACTTGGCATCGTCCTGGCGAAGGGACCACACGCTGCAGTGCAGATCCCTGGGCTCTGGCTACGTTCTCCGTGGTAGTGGGAGACTAACCAAACCATTCACCCCAGATCTCATTTCCTAGACTCACGAGCGGAAGGTCTTTCTAAGTTATCGAACCTACCATCCTCACGATAGCGCCGGAGGTGCGGGGCATGTTATCCCCTCCTTTGCGATGTAGAAACAGTGGGGTGGCCGGGCAGAGTGGCTTGCTCAAGGTAACAGCTGGTGAATGGTCCCCTGGTTGATTCTCTGCATGGGTTCACCCTTGCAGGTGCCCGAGACCCTCGTGCTGCCTCCTGGTGGCCATGGCCTTTCATGTCAACTCCTCCTAAGAACTTTCCTATTGCTCCCCTTGTCCCCCAGTCACCTGAAAGGTCTCAAAGGGACTTCATGTAAAGAGAAAGCTCATTAACGGGAGAAACTTCTTCCGACTAGTGCATGAATGGTTTTGTACTCATCTTAATGCTTCTAGGCGAGCAGGTGGCTTTTAACAAAGGTCTTTTAGAGACATAGCATTCACCCAAAGCCACGATGCAGCCTGTAGATTCCAGCTCCTAGGCCACAACTGATCCCATCTCCTGCACTACTCCCCTGGGCCCTGCCATCATCAGCTTGCCACAACTCCAGGGATAGCTTTTTTTTACCAATCTCTCCCCGGGCCCACATTGGACACCCAGAGCAAATGATTCACAACATCCATCTCCTGATTTACAACCCTTCAATAGTAAATAGTCAAACTCCTCAATGGGATTAAACCATTAAGTCCCACTCATTGGATTTAAACGTCATGCCCTTGCTGTGGGGCCTACCTGGCACTGCGTCCTCCCTGCTCTCCACCCCTGCCACTCACTCTTCCAGGTCCTGCACACCTGCTCCCTCCCACACAAGGCTTGCTAGAGGGGCTGCCCCTGAGGGAAGCCCCAGCAGCCCATCCTTCAAGGCGCAGTTGTAATGGGCTTGTTATTTGTGATGTTATTTGATGGCTGTTTCCCTCCGAGGCTCTAGGTTCAGGAGGACAAGAATCCTGTTTGTAGGCAGGAGGCTTCAGTCTGGACCCAGGCTGCTGGCTGGCTGTCCCCACCACAGCCCTGATGCTGAAGACTGGACTTTGGCCTCCCTGCTCCCCAGTGTATTTGACCGGGGTGTGTGTGGGGTGTGTGTGTACATAGTAAGTGCTTCCGTGCCTTCTTGTGGTGCTTTGCAACTTCTCCCATCTGGAAATGCCTTTTCCTATCCTTACTGTCCCATCCTCCCCCGCATCCTCTGGCATGTAGCTCATGTCCCAGGCTATCGAAGAAGCTTTCTCCGGAGTGAATTATCTTATGGCCTCAAAGAGACAAGCAGCTTCTCCAGAGCAGGTGTGATGTCCTACCCCGGTGCCTCCCATTTGGCCTGAAGGGCGGTGGTAGGGGGAGGAGAGAGCAACAGGTTTCTGTTGGAACAGCCTGCACTGCGATGTCTAACTACTGGGTGGTGACCCTGGAGTGGTGACATGAGTTTGACTGACAGCTCTAGCATGGAGTATATGTCATCATATAAATAATATTTCATATCATTGTATGCTCACCTCCATGATATGATCGCTGAAGACAAATGGGTGCATAAGCAAATGTGGCGAAGAAAGCTGATGGTGCCTGGCTATCAAAAGGTATAGCATCTGGGATCTTAAAGGCTTGAAGATAAACAAGCAGCCATCTAGCTCAGAAGTAACAAAACCCACATGGAAGAAGCACACCAGCCTGTGCGACCACAAGGTGTCGAAGGGATCAGGTATAAGGCATCATCAGAACAAAAAATCTTACCATAGTGAATGATGGGGGGAGTGCGGAGTGGTGACCCAAAGCCCATTAGTAGGCCACTGGAGATCCCCTTGCAGAGGGGTCTCAGGGAGGAGATGAGCCAGACAGGGTGCGATATAGCAACGATGAAAAATACAACTTTCCTCTAGTTCCTATATGCTTCCTCCCCCACCCCCGCCACTATCATGATCCGAATTCTACCTTGCAAGTCTGGCTGGACCAGAGGATGTACACTGGTACAGATAGGAACTGGAAACACAGGGAATCCAGGGCAGATGATCCCTTCAGGATCAGTGGTGTGAGTGGCGATACTGGGAGGGTAGAGGGAGAGTGGGTTGGAAAGAGGGAACCGATGACAAGGATCTATATGTGACCTCCTCCCTGGGGGACGGACAACAGAAAAATGGGTGAAGGGAGACGTTGGACAGGGCAAGATATGACAAAATAATAATTTATAAATTATCAAGGGCTCATGAGGGAGGGGGGAGCAGGGTGGGAGGGGAAAAAATGAGGACCTGATTCCAGGCGCTTAAGTGGAGAGCAAATGTTTTGAGAATGACGAGGCAATGAATGTACAAATGTGCTTTACACAATTGATGTATGTATGGGTTGTGTTAAGAGTCGTATGAGCCCCTAATAAAATGATTTTTTTTAAAAAGAACATCTAACACAGGAAAACATTAATGGTTTAATCCTTATTAATGGAGACTGGAGGACTCTCTGGGTGATGCAAGGAGATAACGTGCTCAGCTGCTAACAGAAAGGCTGGAAGTTTGAATCTATCCAGAAGTGCCTGGGAAGAAAGGCCTGGTGACCTAGTTCCTAAAAACCAGCCACTGAAAACCCTAGAGAGCACAGTCTACACTCCTGGGGTCATCATGGGTCTGAACTGACTCCACAGCAAATGGTAACTTAATACTGCCTCCTGTAGGTGTTAGGAGAGCTCTCATTCTGCAAAAGTGTCATTGACATTTTAAAGTGTAAAAAAGCAAAGATGTCCTTGTGAGGGTTAAGGTACAGCTGACCCAAGCTATAATATATGCATTGACTTCATATGCATGGTAGACAACGAATAAGGAAGTCTTGAGAATTGATGCATTTGAGTTACAGTGTTGTCAAAGAATATTAAATGTACCGTGGACTGCTTGAAGAAGGAATGAATCTCGGAAAAAGTACAACCAGAATGCTCCTTAGAAGCAAGGATAGCAAGCCTTCCTCTCATGTACTTTGGACACGTTATCAGGAGTTTCCAATCCCTGGGCGATGGACATCTTGCTTGGTAAAGTTAGCAAAACAGAGGAGGTCCTGCAAGGAGATGGATTGACCCAGTGGGTTCAAACATAGCTATTTTGAGGCTGGTGCCAGCCCAGCTGGTGTGCTGTTGTACATAGGGTTGTTGGCAATCAGAACCAACAGGAGGAAGCCTGACATCAGCAGCAAATGTGTACGTGCACATGCAGAGAAAAGACTGGTAGGGTATGCACTATTAAATAATTATCTCAGGATGGTGGATACAAATGATTCTCTATAGACTTCCATTAATTTTCTGCATTTTCCACAATGAACTAGTGTCATCATTAGAAATATCTGGAAACAATAGGACAAAGGAAAGAGGGGCTTCCAGAGGCCTTCTGCTTTGTATGTGGAACTAGTTTGCTTTGGAAATGCTCTGAGGAGGGAGGAGGGGAGACCTGAGGTGATGAGGAGGATCTTGGCGGACCAGAGAGGGGAGGGCCACCCTTAAGCCCTTCCTTATCTCCAGCCAGCCAGGTGATCTGGGAAATGTGAGGGCTGAGCCCACCAGGATGAGTCTGGACTTCCAGACAGCATAATGATTCCAGCATTGCTTGGGCACCAGCCGTGTCGGTCCAATTTGTCCTTCAAGTGGTCCCAAGATGAGGGGACACACATCACCTCTTTTGAACCTACAACCACCATGTGAAATAAGGCATGATTCCCCCTGCTTACATATAAGAACTCTGAAGCTTAGAGACATTGGAAACCTTACCCAAAGTCCCATATCTGTCAATGACAGCATTCCCAGACCTGTACAGTCTCAGCCTGACACTTCACACCACACAACACTGTTCCCCTCAGACCAATGATTCAAAGTCTGCTTGGTCACCCAAATGTTTCAGAGAAAGTGCTGTCCCATAAGGAAAGTTTGTCACCTGCTGTCACCCTCTTCCCCGTCTCCTTCATTTTCCATGCCCTCCTCTTGAATTCCCTGCCATCATTTCTTTCATCTTATTGCAGCAACTCTGCAGGAGGAAGTCTGATTCCATCAAGATCTTGCTAACACCGCTGCCAGGGCTTGCAGTCTAACATGAGCAGACACATTTTTAAAAAATTATTTTATTTGGGGCTCATACAACTCTTATCACAATCCATGCATTGTGTCAAGCACATTTGTACACTTGTTGCCATCATTTTCAAAACATTTTCTTTCTACTTGAGCCCTTGGTATCAGCTCCTCATTTTCCCCCTCCCTCCCTCAC